TGTCTCTAAGCTGGAGGCACCCTAATGCCCCGTGGACAAAAGAGAGCGACTAAAATTCTCCCAAATTCCAGGAGCCAAGGCCGTGCCCCAGCCCCAGCTAGGAGGGCTGCAGGAGGAGCATGCAAGTGGCAGGGGTGCTGTGCTGAGGACCCGAGGTGCAGAGTAGAAGGAAGGATACAGTGAGGTAGACAATGATGGGGGCTCAGAGAACCAAAGCAGGGAATGGGCTCACCTGCCGCCCCGCCCCCTGTCTCCCACCCATACTCCCCACCCCCTGCTTGCTGCTGCAGGCAGTCACACAGAAGCTCAGCCTGCAGTGGTTGAACTCTTGGCTTCATCTCTTACCCAGCAACTCTCTTTTGTAACACCTCCTCCAGGAAGTCTCCCCAGGCTGCTACGTGAGGAGATGGGCTAAGCACACAAGCCTGGAGCCACACATCAGGAATGACCCGTTCCCAAGCCTTAACTGTGCCTCACAGGTGAGGAGCCCAGAGCGCAAAGGGGTGCGGTTGACTGGAGGCCAGCATTCAAACCCAGGTCTTCGGGCACAGGGTTCCTCCCAGGGGTTCCGAGAGAGGAGTGCATGGGGGGAAGTCGCCGTTCCTTCTAAGCACTTGCTCCTTGAGTGTCATCCTATCAACTATTTCTAAGGTAACAAGTGACAGGAGTGTTGTTTTGACTGTGGCAAAGTCATAATGGAGAGCAGCGTACAAACAAGCCCGTGTGGCAGGGAGGGCAGGCCAGTGCTGTTCCCAGGCTCCCTCCCCGCCGCCGGCCCCACCTGGACCACCCCCAGGCTCCCTCCACCGTCTGAGGCTCTGCTCCTCTCTAGGAGCTCCTAATCTCCCATTACCAGCTCCCAGACCCACTTATGGGAGACTTGACAGCTCCCCGTCTAGACTGCAGACTCCTAAAGTCTTAATTGCTCTTTCATCAGCGGAGAAGGGCTGCTTCTTCGTCAAGCAGCCAACCACTCAGCGAGTCCTTGTCGAGCTCCTACAGGGTACCAGCCACGCAGGGGATTCAGAGATGTCTGAGGATTTGATGGATCATCCAGGGTCAGGGGAGGACAGTTCAGGCGCTGCCTGGGCTGGGCCTCATGCCAGAGACTGGGCTTCCAGCGCCAAGTCGGCCCAGGCCATCTGGGTGCTCCCCTGGCCCCCCGGAGAGGGGAGGCAGGGAGGGAAATGGGCCGCGAGAGGCCTCCTCACATGGCTTTTCAAGCACCTGGTCACAAGCACCTGGCCTTGGAGTGCTCAGAACTAGGTGCTTCGGCATCGCTCCCCTCAACGGAGAGGCTCCCCTCCTCTGTGGAGTGCTTCCTCGGTGCTGGGCGCCGTGCTCCACCTGCACGGGGTCCTTGACCAGGTGCAACAGACCCTCTAGGGGACCCAGGCCAACGTCCCCTCAGTCTAGTTCCCGCCCTGTCCTAGCCGTGGGCCAACTAAAGGGCAGGTGTTAGTGGGTGCCGAAGTCCCCTGGGCGCGGCTCCCACTGGGCACGGCTCCCTGCGAGTGGGTTCTGCGTAACCCTGCCTCCTCGGCGGCCTTCCTCCCGCAGAGGTCTCCCACCAGGGCCCTGACGCACGGCGTGGCTGCCACCACCCGGCTCCATGAGCTGCAGCTGCAGCTGGGGGTGCTCCAAGCCTCCTGGAGACAACTAAGGCAGGAGTCCAAGGGCACCCCTGATCCCTGTCCCCAAAGGGCAGTTCTGAGGGGCTCAGTGAAACCACCAGCTCCCCTTGGCATTCGGAGCAAAAGAGAAGAGCCCTCCTTTGTCATCATTCTGGAAAGAATGGCTCTTGGGAGGCAAGGCCCTGGGTTGTCACAAACAGGACTGTCAAACTGAGAGCCACTTATTCATCTCACAATCGCCTAAGTGCCTCTGGTTTAAAAAAAAAAAAAAGAAAAAGAAAAAAATAATCGATTGTGCACAACATGGCAGCCCTGGGCCTGGCTGCTGCCTTCAATCCCCACCAGCACCCTCCGCAGTGGGGAATCTGGGCTCAGATGACGGAAAGGACTCATTCAAGTCACCCAGCAAGTTCGGGGCATGCTGGAACCCGGCCCCCGGGGACACCCTGCCCGCTGCCTCTGCCACTGCTCCCCAGCCTCCCTGGGCAGGGGAAGGCCCTGGCCTCACTGCAGGCACCCAGGGGCCTCGCTGTGGATTAACTACCCAAGGCCATGCCTCCCTCTCCACCAGCCGCCCCTGTGGCAGCTATTGCAGTCAGGATGAAAGAGAGCTGCAGCAAAGCCAGCAGAGCTGCAGCCATCAGCCATCAGCCATCTCTCTCTCTCTCTGCCAGGATAGCGCCAGGTGCCTCTCATGGGAGGGAGGATGTCGATGCCAGGATACGGAAGCTAGAAGGGAAGAGGGGAGGGTTGGAGGGGCCCAAGTAGGTCCACAGGGCACCCTGGGAGGCTGGGAGGGGGAGAGAAGAAAGGACACTGCTAGACACAGGCCAGGTGCTGCTCCCTAGACTGCAAGGGCCAGGGAGGGTGGGGGTCCAGTCCCTTCGGCATGGGGACCGTGCTCCCCCCCGACACTGGCCATATTTCTGTAGGAAAGCCCCATGGTGGCCTCATAATGGAAAAGTTAGGGCTCTGCTGTGCTGATATGTCCATCAAACCTGCCCCCGAGGGGAGACATGGTGCCTTCCAGAGCCGAGAACAATGGACACCCAGCTGAGGGTGTGTGCGTGCGTGTGTGTGTACATGTGAGTGTGCTCCCAGACACCGCCGAAGGAAGAGACCAATTTAGAGCATCAGAGGCCAGCCCACTTTGCATGGCTTCTAGGAGGCATGTACGGTAAATAAGGATTCAAGAAAAGAAATGTTGCATCATTCAATTAATTTTAGCCTTGAATCGTAGTGGCGGGTGCGGAGGGGGGATGGTGGGGGGAGTGTAATCAATACCAAGCATTCAGCTTGCTAACATGAAGCACATTTCATACAAAGCTGGACATTTTTCTCCTTGTCATACAGAATTATCTTAATTATTGTTTCAAGGAACAGCCTTATATAGCATCATCTAGTAGTCCGGGAGGCGGCTCAGAAACTCGTCACTGGAATAATTTATGATTTTTCTTTCTAACATCTTGGTCTTGTTTGATATGCTTGCCATTTCTCCCTGACAGGGAGGTCGATTAAATCACATTTATATTGTAAACGTATGCATTGCTTTTTACCCAAGGCGCTGGATGAAGAGATACAGGGGCCCCAAGGGAGGGAGAAGCCAATCCACTTTCATATTGCAAATTTCTGCTGTTCGGAAGAAATGAATGGTTGCCAGGGAGAACTGGGAATTACTTGAGGATGCAAAATGTTATTTTAGAATCCTTTTGAGAGGGCTTTTTTTCCCTCCCCCATCTCCTCCAGCATTTTCACTTCTCCAGCTGCTAATGGAGGCCAGGACCGGTCCCTACGCACAGGCGGAAGGAATGCACTCCACCGGCATTCTTCAGGGGATCGGCCGGGCCAGATTTGGGCCCGGGCGCCCTTCAGCAGCCTGCCTCTTGGCCTCGGCAGAGGCTGGGGGCAAGCCGAGAAAAAAGGCGCTATTCACGTCTTGCGAGGCATTTCATCCGCCCATCCGGGCTAGATGGGGCCACTCTGCAGGCTGCCAGTCGGATTTGGTGGGGGGCTTTGTAAATAGCAGAAAGTGTTGGAAATGAAGAGGGGAAAGGTCATTAACAGGGGCCAGGAAGAAGTGACGCCGCACCGTCATTAACCTAACCGAACTAATTAGGAAACATTCAGGTTTTATAAATTATGCAAGACGCTCAATTTATACTTTTTCAAATTCCTACCATAACATAGATAATGAGGGAACATTTACAGTAACAGCGTAACCTAATCAAGAAACCCTTTCATTAGCATGAAATCTTCCAACACGGTGTTTGCGAGCACAACAAACGGAATTATAGATGTCGGGGGAGGCCGGGGGGGAGGGCTGGATTGGGGGAAGGGCTGGACGGGAATGCTGATTGCACATTTGGCAAGGCCTGGGGCCCTAAGAAATCTCCCTCTCCCACCCTCAGCCTGAAATAGAGTTTTCCCAGAGCTCAGATCTGCGAAAGGGCCGGAGGGATCTGGAAGGTCCCCGTGACTCCCCAGCTCACTCTGGGGTGTGAGTCAGCCCGTGGGTAATTTATAACTCCCCTCCTCTGTCTGGATCCGCTAATCCTGGAAAGACTGATAACCAGTGCAGAGCAGCCCTTACTACAGGCTGAAAATCCTCCCTGGAGGTCATGAGTCAGCCTCCTTCTGAAGGTTCTAGCCTCTGTAAATATCCAGCAAATGCCTGAAGTTCCATCCCCAGTGGTGACTTTGCCTGGGTCTTCTGAGCTCACTGCTAGTGGACAGAAGGCAAGGGGTGCAGTCCACGTGCCATTTCGAATCCCGGGTCTCAAAGGGATCCCACCACATGATCCAAGATCGGAGGAGCCAGGTGAGCCTCTCTCTGGTAAGAACCCACTACCTCCCAGGGAGGTAGCTTCCCTGCTACATGGTTATAAGGCCCTTCGAAGGCTATCAGAGGAAATGGAGAAAAGCCCCATCACCACGGACCTCTACAACTGCTGATCCTCCCCAAACTGGGTTGAACAGGGACACCCATATCACTCAGCTCAGGCTGCTACCACAAAATACCACAGGCTGGGGGTTCAACAGAAATGGATTCCTCACAGTCAGGAGGCTGGGAAATCCAAGACTGAGGTGCCAGAAAGGTCTGAGGCCTCTTCTCTCGCCTCACAGGCCACCACCCCCTCACTGGGTGCTCTTCCCTGTGGGGGTGCACACAGAGACAGAGACAGCTCTCTGATTGTCTGCTTGTTGGACACTAAGCCCCACTCTCATGACCTCCTCTGACCATAATTACCTTCAAAAGCTCATCACTTTGGGGGTTAGAGTTCCAATAGATGAATTTTAGGGAGACACAAGCATGACACTACCCAAATGATACATCCACCCAGCACATGGGAATGTGACTTTATTTGGGATAAGGGTCTTTGTAGATGTAATTCCATTAAGGATCTTGAGATGATATCATTCTGGATTTTCAGGGTCGGCCCTAAATCCAGACCAAGTCACAGAGGAGCAAGGACGAGAAGGCAGAGGCAGAGACTGGAGTGATGTGTTTCCACATTAAACCAAGGGACATGAGGATCGCTGGCAGCCACCAGAAGCTGGAAAAGATAAGACAGGGTTTGCCCCTAGATCCTTTGGAGGGAACGTGGCTCTGTCACCCTGACTTTGTACCTCTGGCTTTCAGACCTGGGAAAGAATAGAGTTGTGCTGTGTTGAGCCTTCTAGCTTGTGGTTATTGGTTATGACGACTCTAAAAATGAATACACTCTCTAACTATTCATCTCAGTTCTCCAGGAAAACAGACCCAATAAGATGGATCTAGACACAAAGAGATTCATTATAAGGAATTGGCTCATGCCATTATGGAGTCCGAGAAGTCTCACAATGTACCATCTACAAGCTGGAGACCCAGGAAAGTGAGTGGTTTGGTGCCAGTCTGACTCCAAAGGCCCGAGAACCAGAAGAACTGACAGCCTGAAGTCATCATCCAAGGGCAGGGTGAAGATGGATGCTCTGGTCTGTCAGGCAGGCAGAAAGAGAGAGAATTCTCTTCCTCTCCTCCTCTGTCTTTTTGTTCTATTGAACCCCTCAATGGATTGGATGAGGCCCACTCACACTGGAAAGGGTAATCTGCTTTACTCAGTCTACTGATTCAAATACTAATCTCTTCCAGAAACACCCTCACAGACACACCCAGAAATAATGGTTAACTAAATATCTGGACACCCTGTGACTCAGTCAAGTTGACACATAAAATTAACCATTACACACTGAGTCTCGATGTCCATCATCTGCAATAGTAACAGGGCCCTGCATGAAGTAAGTGCTCAATAAATGTGAGCAATCGGTATTAGGTGGGGCTGAGATCTGCCTCTGAGTTCTACCCACTGGTCCTAACTCTAAGCGTCCAATGCCAGGGGGAACAGCCTGCTCCCCCTCCCACCTTCAGAAATGTGAAGACAGGGATATTTTATCCTGAGACAGCTAGATAACCCTAATCCCTCCTACTGCGTGAATGTAGTTGAATGTCACCCCATGATTTTGGCATCTGACTCTTGGGCAAACCAAGGCACAAGCCTTGAGATGAAAACCCAGGTGAATGGAATGGAAGTCCCCATTGTGCTCATGTGCACATTGTGCTCATCATTCGTGCATGCATTCATCCATTTATTCAATGAACTGAAGACTCTAAGGATCTCCTCAGCATCGGGTCCCATGCCTGGAGCTGAGAATATAGTGATAGAAAGACAGAGTCACTACCCTATGGAGTTTCCAGCCCGGCTTGGACTCCACTTCCATATGCCAGGCCACAGCCCCATTGCATGGGCGAGGGCCCATTGGGGACAAGTCCTGCCTTAGCCCTGAGTTCCTTGAGAACCAAGGGCCTCATAGGAGTGCAAGCCCGGGGCTCCCGGCTTCTGTCTTTCATCAAAGTCTGGCTCCCCCTCCACCACAGCCCTCCCGATGCAGTGGGGATATTACAAATGCCGTCATGGAGATTACCTTTGCTACAACCGTTCAGAGCATGAGCTTCAATTACCCACTCTCTGGTTCTCTGGTGCAGGCAAGGCCACGTCAGCGCTGGGGAATGTTCTCTCCCACATCATTACCCAGCTTTTCCATATTCCCTCCAGTAATTTGCAAGCTGCAGACTGTAAATTCTGCAGGGAGGAGGCAGGGACAATGGTGTCCTGCTTTTACGTTCATAGCCACGTGGGAGGGATGCTTCTTGGGCTTCTCCCTCTCTAGTTTCACCACTCTCGAAAAGGAGAGAAAAGGAGCAGAATGCTTCCAAAATTACTCCCAAATGTTCCTCTGAAAACCTGAAGCCGACCCTGGCTGCCAGTGACCTATTCACAGGGTGACAATTTCATAGACCTTGGTTAGTGACCATAAATCTCTGGTTTGGGAGGGGGCTGATGACGGCCTCAGTCTTGGCAAGCCCTCTTGCAGATGTTCCCAAAGATCTAGATGTTTGGCACCAGAATGGCACATCTGGATAATGAACTAGAGGTTTCGCATCCAAAGGTTTGGGGGTCAGGGCAAGACCGTGCAAGCGAGGGGCCTCTAACGGCTGAGGTCCACACCCAGCCCCAGGTCCCCGAAGCCCACAGAGCCACTTAACAGAAAGAGACCTCTCCATTTTATAGATGAGAGAACTGAGGCCCCCAGAGGCCAGAGAAGGAAAGCGCTTAGAATTGATGAATGGTTGGGAGAGATTATTTTTGAGGCGAGGTGGAATGACTCAAACTCTGCAGCGGGGTCCGCAGGACACAGTGATCGCCCCCTTCGTGTGGCAGGGCAGAGGCCTGCGGAAGGGATGCTCCATACTCAAGGCCCTGGCCAGTCGGGGTAGAACCAGGGACTGAGAGGGGGGACAGGGAGGAATTGCAGCCTCTGCATCTGCCAGGCTGGGTTGCGCTTGCCTGTGTGCCTGGCTCTGGTGGGCATAAAGAAAAGCCATGTGTTCACCTCTGGAAGTCACAGGCTGGATATCTCATGGCTGTAAGTACAACGTTGCGAGGAAAAGGGATGTTTCATTTGCAGCATTTTCACACCTAAGACTTAATAAGAGGAAGAGGCGAGAGCCCATGGGGTGGGAAGGAGGGGAGCAGAGCCAATGTGTGGGGAGAAGCAGAAAGAGGCTACTCCCCACAATACCCTGTTAAATACCATAATTAAGACCCCCCGGGTCTTAATTCCTGCAAGGAATGAAGGGGTATAAGTTTTGCCTGGGGTACAAATCCTAGGGTACAAGTTCTGCCTCAGAAGCTCCACAAAAGCTTTGTATCCTTCCACAAACCTTTTTGGAGAGGCGCTTGACCAGGCCTCTATTTTTGACAATTAAATGAACCCAATGGGAGGTGTCTGCGACCACCCCCCCCCCAAGCAACCTTTGTTCATCCTCTTCCTCTTGGGTGCACATCACCATCCACAGTCCGCATATGGCCGTCTCCTACAGGGCCCGTGCCCTGACCACAGAAAGGCCAGATATGCCCCCAAAATCAGTAGCCGCAATGCTTCAATGCCAGTAACAACTGGCTCAGGTCAAACTCACCTGGTGGGGAGATGCTCGTCACTGCACCGTGGTGGACATGCTCTGTGCCATTGAGTTTTTGTCACAGGTCAGGGACACGAAGGTAGACAGCCTTGAAGACGGAACAGAGGGGCAAGCAGAGTTCATCGGAGACCAGAAGGGACACCAGACAGGGGAGTCAAGGAGGCTTCCCAGGGGGATGCCCCTGATGTGGACCCTGCTGGAATGTGTGCTTGTAGGAAGTGGGGGTTGGGGGGTGGGAGGGAATTCCAGGCAATGGGAAGGGCATAAGGTGAGGGGACAGGGCACGCGTACATCCAGATCATCTGGAGAATGCTGATGTACCTGCCCAACTTCAGCCTGTCTCACCAGCTCCCAGCTGTGGCCGCTAATACCTCCGGGGGACATGGGTGGTAGGGGACAGGGAGGAAATGCAGACGTATTTTTCTCTTAAATTTCCTGCTTTGCTCCTATCATTTAAAGGCCAGTGATGTCACCAGACGTTATTATTGCATGATGAGATATCCTGGGGACGGGGCTCTCTCTGAATTTCACAGATGAGGCACATGTGGCCCAGGAAGGTGAAGTAATTTACCTGAGGTCACCCAGCAAGATAATGAAACAGCCATGACAAGGATCCATTTTTGCTGACCCCAGACCCCTGGCATCTTCCACTAGACCCTTCTCAAGGCAGCCAGCTGTGAACATCTTTTGATTCTCTTCCCCAGCAGCCTCCACAGTGAGGCCTTCCAGGGCCTGCCCTTTCATTATTTTTAATGCTGTTTACATATGAGAGAGAGACACAATATGCAAGGCAGTCAGAAGGCACAAAAGGGCACCCAGTCAAATTTAAAGCCCCTGGGGGCCACAGCGCTCTTGCCTGCCCCCTCTACTCCCCCACTGAACCCCTCTGATTGTTAGGAAAATAATTGAGGCCGCCATCTGACTCCCAGCTGCGGGGCTGCGGCTGGGTCAGGGGATTGATGGCCTCTCCTGGCAGTGATGGAGGGGCTGGAGGCAGCCAAGGTTAGAAACGCAATTTCACAGAGGAGTTGAAGACGCCACAGGGGAGGGGGCGAGGAGAGACACCGCAGTAGCAGGAGGAAGGAGGGACCGGTGGAGGGTTGCAGGGGCTGCCCCCCCCCACAGCTAGCGCCAGGCTCCATGGGGCCCACGGGGAGGTGGTTTGCATAGACAGCTCCTTCTAGAGGACTAGCTTCCCCACCATCCGGGTCTTCCCAACCTTTGTGACTCTGCTCTCCTCCCCCAGGAAGACTTTCTTGACTCCCTCCCCTCAAAGCTAGCGGTAAACACTCATCTTCTATAATCCTTTGTCTTCCCTCTACCTCTGCCCTTATGACTTGGTCCTGGGATTGTACGTGTGTGTGTGTGTGTGTGTGTGTGTGTGTGTATTTATGTAGGCACGTCTTTGTGTGTGTGTGTGTGTGTGTGCTGTGTGTTTGTGGATGTTATTGCATATTTGTGTGCATGTTTGTATATGGGTGTATGCGCGTGTGTGTTTATGTGCACATGTGTTTGTGTGTGTGTGTGTGCACGCCGACTCCCCACCAGGCTTGGACTACTCGATGGCAGGCACCACATCTACAGCATTTCCGTTTCCCCGGGGCTCACCCCTGGGCCTGGCACGTAGTAAAACCTCAGCCTACGCAGGCGGAATGAGGGCGGTGAATGAACTAACAAATGCACTGTCTTTGCAACACCACTTGGAGGACAGGGACCTGCCCCATTGATTGGCTGTCCACCCCCCACTAGAAGTTTGCCTCTTTGAAGACAGGGATTTGGTCCAGATTAAGCACCACTGGGAACCCAGTGTCTGGGGCAGGGTTCCACAGCCTGGGCACTATGATGCTTTGGGCCAGATCATTCTTTGTTGCGAGGGCTGTTTGTACATTGTAGGACGTGGAGTAGCATCTCTGGCCTCTACCCAGTAGATGCCAATAGCAGCCCTTGCCTCCCAGTTGGGACCATCAAAAATGTCTCCAGCCATTGCCAAATGTCCCATGGAGGGCAAAACAGTCTCCAGCTTAGAAACATGGGCCTAGAAGGATGCCTGGCATGAGGTCAGCACTAACTAATACTGTTGACTAGCTACCTAGCTGACCTTTCAGAGCCTTGCAGCTCTGCGTTTGCCCAGGATGACTGCCAGCCTTGGGGTATTGGCACCTGGGTCAGGGCTGAAAATGCCAGAACAGCATGAGGGCAAGACTTGCAGTCCTCGATCTGCAGGATCAGTGGCCAGCACTGCCACTATGAGTGCTATGGGACCTGGGCTCAGTGCTTTCCCCCACAGGCAGGAGCCATCCTCTCCCATCCTCAGCCCGAAATGTTAACGGTCTTACTTCCTACCCCATCTGCTCAATACCCACATCCCCAATGAGGGTTGGATTCCAGTTCCTGAACAAAGAATAACCATCCCTCATGGCTCCTCTGTGGGGCCCATTTATCTGACAGTGCCTGAGGTTTACACACAGCTCCTGCCTGAACTCGGTTAAACTAGGCCAAATCCCTTGGCTTTTTTCCAAAATAGCCTCTGAGACCAACACAGAAATGGAGTTGCACAAAGAGGCTACCAAATTCTCCAATTCCAAGCCACAGTGGGTGGTAAGGAATGTGATCTGGGGGCTCTTTGCTGGTGGGAGAATTGAAAGAGTGTGTGTGCGTTGTGTGTGTGTGTTCCATCTACCTTCTCCAGGGGTTATGGGGTTAAGACCAGAGCTGCCACAGGCTGCCAGGACGATATTCCAGGGGTCCTGGCATGGGTAGGGACAGGGAGACAGTTATGACTTGGCCAAGGCAGAAAAACTGCAGATATACAAGATCAAATGAGGCTGGGCATTAGAGACTGGACCACCCACCAAGAAAAGTGGAGAACAAGAGAAGCTCAGGGGGTGGAGGCAGTCCTGCACCAATTGGCATCAGCACTCTGGGCACTCTTACTGGAACCAAGAATATAAGAACAACAATGGTCATCATTACAGGACTGCGGCAGAGAGGACATTTGAGGACTCGTTCAACCGAATCCACTGGGGTTTTTTCTGTCGACTACATTGTTAAGAGTCTCAAAGGCAGGGACCAAGCACATTATGTTTTGTCATCCTCCACAATGCCTCGCAGACGGCACAGAGCGCAGTAACTATCGTGCCTGTGTGGCTGATGGGGAAGACACCTGATGCACACTGACTCAGAAGAGAGGATTTGCGGACCAGGTCTGCCTGCTGGTTGCTAGAAGACAAAAACCAAGAGGCAACGCTGACCATTCTGCCATTCAACACATAATCCTGAGATCCCCCCCGCCCCGGACCATCCCAAGGTCCTGCCATCCACATGCATGCCCTACGGGATACTGGGGATACATGGAGATAAGACAGAAAGGTTTCTTTCCCTTGTGGAGCTAAACAAGATCTAGAACCCTAGAGATATAGCCACCATTTGGGAGGGAGGGTGAATGTGAGAAGGACCAGGAAGTCACAGGTCAGGCTTTTGAGCAGCAATCCTTCTGCTCAGAATTATTATGCCCATTCCTGTCACTTAAGCTCTCTTAAAGCCCAGCCCACAGACAGCTGTCCCAGAACTCCTCCTCCGACCTTGCTTGCTGGAGGAGAGTCTTCTCCAGCCTTCGGCAGACTGACCTGCCCATATCACAAGCTGCCCTCGGCCTAAGCCATATGTTTACCCAAGCAGAAGTCCCCTGCCATGGCACTAGGGATCACCAGTGACCACAATGACTCACAAAGCCTAAGGTCCCTGAGATGCCTTTAGCTCTAGAAGCACCCATAAACAAAGCAATATCCCCTCTGCAGACAATCTGAAGACCTATAGCAAATGAAGAAATTTGCTATAATTTTAAAACTACCTCATGAAGAAAACCTCAGGCCCTGAAAGTTTCACTTCTGTATTCAACCAAACTGTCAAAGAACCAAAACCAGTTCTTCATAAATTGCTCCAAAAAAGAGAAGAGGAGGGAACACTTCTAAACTTAGTTTATGACGCCAGTATACCCTAATGCCAAAACCAGACAAAGATACCACAAGAAAACTAAAGACCAATATCTCTTATTAATATGGACACAATAATCCTCCACAAAATACTAGCAAACTGAATCCAGCAACATATAAGAAGAATTATACACCACAACCAAATGAGATTCATCCCAAGGATGCAAGGTTGGTTCAACATTCAGAAATCAATCAATCATCATATCAATAGAATAAAAAATGAGGGCAGCCCGGGTGGCTCAGCGGTTTACCACCGCTTTCAGCCCAGGGTGTGACCCTGGAGACCCTGGATCGAGTCCCATGTTGGACTCCCTGCAGGAGCCTGCTTCTCCCTCTGCCTCTGTCTCTGCCTCTCTTTCTGTGTCTCTCATGAATAAATAAATAAAATCTTTAAAAAATAAAAAGAATAAAAAATGAGAATCACTGATTATCTCCATAGACACAGAAGAAACATTTGACAAAATGCAGCAGTCTTTCATGATAAAAACAGTCAAAAAACTGGAAATAAAGGAAAACATCCTCACCTAGTAGACACCTATGAAAAATCCACAGCTAACCATCATACTTAATAGTAAAACACTGGATGCCTTTCTCCCTAAAATCAGGAATAAGATAAATATATTTACTCTCACTACTGCTAGTAGTACTCTAGTACACTGTACTAGAGGTTCTGGCCAGGGCAATTAGGCAAGAAAAAAGAAATAAAAGGCATCTAGATTGGAATAGAAAGAGTTAAACTATCTCTATTTGCAGATGATCTCACCTTGTATATAAGAAATCCTAATGAATCCACTACAGAACTATTGTAACTAATAAACAAATCCAGCAAGGTTGCAGGGTACAAGATCAATATCAAAAATCAATTCTTCCTATACTATACAATGAAGAATCCAAACGTGAAATTAAGAAAATAATTCTACTCACAATAGCATCAAAAATAATAAAATACTTAGCAATAAATTTAACAAAAAAGTACAAAATTTATGCTCTGAAAAATACAAAATATCATTAAAGAAATTAAAGATAAATGGTGAAAAAAATCCCATGTTCTTAATTTTGTTAAGATGGTAATATTCTCCAAACTGATCAACAGATT